TGCGTTTTTTGAACATGGGCTTAATAAGCGAAAGGAGAATCTGTAGACATTGGTTTCATCATACGATGATTTGTTGTCGATTTGTGATAGATACGATGATCCGAGATTTCGACGCCTTTCCCAAAATTGTGTCGTGCTTGGACTGAGAGTTTCTATACCGATCAACACTTCCAGAAAATTGTTTGATTGAATGAGGGATAATGAGCCCGAATAGAACAAAAGCGAGCTAGACCCCTTCAAACGATTGAGATGAGAGCGAGATATAGCTCAACTTTTTATACTCGGTAACAGGCAGTCTTCCCAGACGGTAATAAGTTCAAGGAATGGCTTTACGTACAGTTTTCGTAGGTATGAACAAAGTATAAAATTATGTTATTCGGTGTTCATTTTAAAAAAAGTTTTAGGAGCAATATTAAGGAAATATTGGTAATTTTTGGAAGTAGATTCAAAGTTTTCTTCAAAGGCTTAGTTCTCGTTAAAGGTGTACTCTGGGATTTTTTCTTCAAATGAACCTATGACCACAAAGGATAGCACATGGGAAGCTGTCGGCTCGAAAAACGGCCTCGATAGGGCATAGTAAGGACTCCAAAACCGGCTCAGCCGTCATACACACCCACAATGGCCGTGTTAAGCCGGCTTGTTGAGACTGCACTATTCACAATTAAGCGTTGGGACTCTACGAAAAGTTAGCTTATATGGGAGGCACCCAGTTAATTACAGACGGCGATACCGTACAACCCTCTTTTCTGCCATTTTTGATAGCTTTTTTTACAAGTCCGCTGAATTTCGCGCTTTCTTCGCCAATTTCGTTTTATTCTGCTTCATACTGTTACTATTCCACTTAACCAGATGCCCCAGAATTATCGTGAGCTGTTCCTTTGAAACAAACGTCATGGGCGTCGTGCATTGTAATGTGGGAGACATTTTTCGACCACATAAAGTTTATTTCATCGGGTCTGGTTTGAATGCTCTGATCTCATGCCGCATATCTCCCTCTGCCTGAATAATGTATATCCCGATTGATCGCAGAGGTGGTTTGATAGCATCCTTGCAGCGGAGTCGGCTCCTAGTCAGTTGAGTCAAAATCGAGACAAGGAAATTTCTTTGGAGAAATGTAAAAGTCTATACCTACTATCTTTCTATATCCTCTAATCATTCCTACTCCCAATAGGTTTGCATTTCAAGTTCTTCATCCATAAGGCATTCTTTATGAGCGAATGATAGCACTGCTTGCAGTGAAGCAAGTGGACTTCGGAATTCGTTTATTTTTCCCGCGAATTTTTGTTCTTATTTATTTATTTTTTCTGTTTCCATCTGCGGAAAGCTCTGTTGCTTCGATCCAACTTTTTTTAGTGTAAGCGAATTTTAGTTGTAATCTAGTGTGGACTGGATAGGTACAACATGCCCAACTTTTGATTTCTGGGGAGAATTCTCATTGAAAAAAGCTATATGAAATGTATGGCCTGCCCACTCTCAGTTCCTCCCACTCTCCAGGGCATTTTAAGCAGCTTCAATTTATAATGTTCACACAGACATCAGTTCTATTTTTTCTTGAACCGTTTGACGAGTTTGTTTCTTGGTCTTGATGCGGAAATTGTTAATGGTTTCTCTCGCATCGTAGAAACAGCTGTTGCTGTTATGTGTTAGTTTTTCTTCTGGGAAGGAGGTCTCCTCTCCCTTTTCTTTTTGCGACTTCAACCTTTTCAAGGTTCACAGTAAGAAATTAACTTGATGTCCTATTGTCGTCTCCTTAGATACGAATTGAAATATATTCTCGCCAGTCGTATCACGCGACTTATGCCGGAATTCCTTCTTTCAGTAATTGTGCATGATGCTTGGGTAACTTTGCGCGTATTCACCTTTTTAGTATAGATGATTCGGCAATCCAAATTTCAGAACTTTCTGAGAGGGGAAAAGGGAGCGCTAGGGGGTGGGATGGGAAGAATCTCATCTGTGGTCCACCAGTAGGCCAGTGCATCTGGCACTCAGTGCTTAACGGTGCGTGAGTAGATCACTCTGCTGCTTTAGATTTTCAAGCACTTGAATCAACTCAGTTCTTCCTTTTTTGGGTTCACTCACTGACGCGGACGCGATTAATCCCTAACTGATGGTTGACCATGAACAAGAAGCAGCGTTGTAAGGCCGCATTTTGAGACTCTTTCCTTTTAATCCCTCTTATTTATAAAACAGTAATTTGGTGTGTCAGTCAGTTTGTCGGTATGTCGGTTAGTTGGCTTGTCGGTCTGTCTGTCCTCAAATCTTTGTGATTACGATAAAGGTAGTGATATGGAAACTCAGTCTATCCCACATTTCCTTCTTATATGTAAAGCAGTGAATTGGTGGGTAGGTTAATGGAGCAGAGTGAGTACGGCGGAGTGAAGTGAGTAATGTGGAGTAAAGTGGGTACTTCAAAACTGTGACTTCGATCTGTTCTGGCTCCGTGCTATGTATGTCTATACAAAAATGGAGGTGATAATGTAGTTGGGCGACCTCCGCTTCCTTTTCAACATTGAGCGCTCTAGAGCGCAAATGAGGAGTACTCATAATAATTGTGCTCATTAACGTTTCTTAGCCAAGAACAGCAGTTTTTTGATGGGAGCTTCACAGGTAAAGTCGGCTTCCCCTTCTTTGCACTTCCCCCCCCCCCCCCCCCCCCCCCTACCCCCAACTACATTTTCGAGCCTTCTGTGTTCTGTGTAAAAGTAAGGAATGTGGCCCGGCGTAGGCCGGCGACCCGAGTGATGAGCTTATAAGCTAACATCGTGGTTCATTTATGTACCCAACTTTCCAGTCACCCTGCAACATAAGTAGTTGAGTACCTGCATCCCTTCACATACCTGATCCAAGCATGTACAGGCAAAACGGAAGACAAGGGAGCTTAGTGGACCTTGCATAGCAACTCTCGTAATGTGCCGATGATACCAGCTGTTTCAATTCCTGTCACCAATAATCTTCCATCATGTTACCCTAAGCAATCACCGAAGTGCCAAGGGACCTACTGGGTCTTGCGTCTGATGGTGTCTGATGACTCTTATCAGCTTCTTTGATCATCTAAGGTCGAAGGAATGCAGAAGATACCAAGTGGAAGACGTTGATAAGAGGCTTCCGATATATTGTGTGCTGCATGGTGGGATTGTAAACGGGGGATAAGAAGAAGTGATAGAAGGTATTAGTAGTGAATGAGGGATTTTGGAAAGCAAAAACTGTCGTGTTCGTTACACCCTTCGCGTCAGCCGTGACACTTCAGTATGTAACCGTAGATGATTGGTGACAAGACTTACATCAAGTAGAAGCTGACAAGCGGTCAATGAAGGCAAGACTCTTGAGTTTATCTCAAACAGTGTAGAAGAGCCATTACTGTTAAAGGCAATATTGCATGTGGGAACGAAATTCAGTTGTATTCTCGAGGTTTCGCAACGAACATTACCCATCGAGTGTAAGGTACTGAAAGATTCTGATGGCAGTTGCGGCAAAAACCAATATCAGCAAAGACAAGCGACAATCCAACCACCAACATGAGAAAATCTTGACGAGCTAGGAAGGCAAAAGGTCTCGCGGCTAGCGACATCTCAGTTGTATGTACCATTCGAGCCTCAGTTAACTAAGCATAAAGCTCAGCTATATAGCAGTCGATGCGTTATCTTTGATAAAATTGAATACTAGTTGCATCATACCGAGCTAACTCTTTTTGTGGTTAGTATTTTCGAAATAGAGAAAAACCCAGCATCAGCCTGGCGATCCGTCTGATTTATTGACCTATGATTATGAGGCGGATCACGTATAATGCTGATAATTCGGACTATTGTGCTATGAACGGCTGGTGGTCGTTACTCATGGAGGGACACCCTCAGTCTCAGTTGTTGAGTCATGATTCTCTTTTGAAAATATAGAATGTCATTAACGTCTTCCTTGTCGAGACCTTCTGGTACTGTGCACTTTATCTCAGTGTTGAAAATACAGTGATGGAACCTAGCTAGGAATTTATAAATTCGTATGACCTATCTCTTTTTCTGCGTCTCCGTAACATTTCGATCCACATTGCATTCTATCCTGCTGCTCACATTCATGGCGCAATACTTTTTTTGCGTAGACAAGTGATGCAAACATTTGACATGCTTTGCTTACCTTCTTTTTCTTCCCCCTATCGTAAGTCCCCACTTGGAGACTTTGAACATGGTTGATATTACTGGGCGGAGATCAAGGAAGCATAGCGACAACCAGCCTCGAGGTTTTAGTGTTCCTTAAAACTGGACTGACGGTTTCACTTCACTCTCAAATTGTATGTGAATCTATTAAACTGTGACTTTCATTCGTGATTCGGAAACGCTCACTTAAGGCGTTCTGTTTACCCCTAAAGCAAACAGCACTCAACCGGTGCTAGCCCTTGAATCATAGAGGGCCTTTTACTTTGGTAACCTATTTTTCTACCCATTTTAAAACGTTTTAAGATTAGCTTCTTTGTCCAACACCATTATATGCGTTTGAGTCTAAAGGTATCAATACTGTTGGCATGATTTCAAATATGACAATACTCTGAGAAGACTACGCTCATGCATTAGTAGGAAATGAATTGTTAAGCTTATCATCATTGCCACTCACCATCAGATCGCCGGTTAATGTCGGGCTCTCTTTCTTTGCGGGCTAGATTGGTCTGCCACCCACGTCCCTTCCAAATTTGGACGCTCCGGTACAGGAGAACAGGAGTTGCAAATTTAGCTGAATACACATACCCCCGACACACTTCGTGAGCGCCTCGTGAATGAAGTCCTGCTCGTCACATGGGTGTATAAGTGACTTTGTTTATTCTTATTCAACTTTACAACTTGACTGCGCAAACTCAGAATATGCTCATTTCACGCATGCTCCTCCCACTTCTCCCCTCTTACACCCCCACCCTTGCCCACCGCGGACGCATACTCTTCAGTTAGTTTCTACCAATACCATCAGTGTCTTCATCTTGTCATCTGTGCCCCTACCGAAATCGAACGCTCCAGGTTAACAGGAGCGGAATTTACAAATTTCACTCAAACGCAATTATTCGTGAACGCCCACCCTCTGGTCCGAATTAACAGTTTGAGCGCTCTCCTCGCCCCCAGTAAGCGGAGTCCAGTCGTGCTACCTGCCATCAGTGTTCCCATCCTGCTGCCAGCACTCTATCGAACCCAAACCTTGTGGGTCCACGAAAACAGGACTGATGAATTTTCGGTCAAACACACACACCGACAAACATGCCAACCAACCAAAAGACACTTAGCGCACTATACATATTAGGATCATTTTGATTTTCATAAGGTTCTTGATCCAATGAACGCCGTTTGAAGCGTTGGAAAGATACATAACCCCACTACGTAGCATACTTACTTAGAGGGATCTCCTCTCTAATAATTTCATTTCCTTCCCCGACTGGCAGACAAGGTGCAAAGACCGAGATGGCTAGCGCCTCACAACGAATCCTGCTTACTATCTGAGTCACAAAGCAATCGATTTGTGCATTCTCTAAAACGTCATCGTTATAGCGTAGTCCACTGCCCAAATAGCTGCCCACTTTTCTTGGTTGAATGACGAGGAGCCCATTGTGCCTCTGGCTCCAAAAACATTCAAAATGCCCTCTGTTCCAGATTTGCTCAATCCTTTCTTCGGTTTCGGAATTTATCTCTCCGTTTCTCTTCATTTTATTGTGGATTCCATTAAGCAACTCGGAGAATAACTAATTAATTTTTTGTATTTCTCTTATTCGACTTAGGGTTTTTGCTTGGTTGCTATCAATTTGCCGTAGCACATGCTATGCGAAAGTCTCTCAAGGATAACGAGTTGTGAGCAAAAATCGGCGAGGGACGTGATTCGACCCCGTACTTGTGTTTTCCGGGCACCGTGCTTTTTGTCTCTTACACTACCAAGACCCCGCTTGCGCTTGCCTTTTAATGGCTGCTGACAAAGCTTGTTGGAGGCCGAAGTTTTGCCCACATTCGCCAATCTTGTGGTCTCTAGAGCAGTGGTGTTGAGCTGAAAATTGATAACTCTACCGCCCTCTAGCAAGCCGCTCTTCATACATAGGATAACAACAGTTGTGGAAGTGTATGAAAATTCAACTATATAAGTGTTTTTGGCAATGCATAAATGCAGATTTGAATGGATATCCACTTTATTAGATGACTCAGCATCAGCATAGAAAACGGATCGTAGCTTTCTGACGGTACTTCGGACGGTCGTTAGAGATGTACACCTTTACTTCCAGAGATGTTACATCGAACAGTTTTGCAGCCTTTCCTCGTCACGAGAGTTACTGTTTGGCTTTGGGGCTCTTCTGTCGTGTCACAATGCCTTGTTATCGATCGTACGCACTCCTGTTTCCTCCGAAGTGCATCTTTTCTCCTGTGTCAGAGCCCCTATCTTCGTAGCAACTAAGGAATTCACAAATTATTGAAAATGGAAATATACCCTATAGCATGAAAATAAATAATTCTACAGGGGGAAGCTCCTTGTGGAGGGGAGATACCTAACATTTCTCATACGGCATTTTTCTTATTACCAAGAAAAAGTGTTGTGCCATGGCTACCAAATCTGTCATTTGCATATTTTTCACGCTCGCGTTTACGCCGATTCCTATTTAGCTCTGTAGATATCACATCTGCAATTACCTAAATAATAAGAAATTTAGTTACAATACTTTCACATCTTTCCTCCTCCCTTCCAAATTTGTCTATTTTTCTATTTTGGAAACTTGGTCCACACGAATCGATTCAAATTCTATGATTTTTGTAGCATTGACTGCAGTGTGATTGATCTTCAACTACAAGTATTTTAGTAACGGTACCTGCATGTCTGTAACGGCAAAGAACTTCTATCGACGTGCCTTACCTCCAACATGCGTGGACTTTTCTTCCGAAGAGGGAAAGCGACTTTTCACTGAAAGCCTCATTGATGGTATACAATTTGATGTCTTTTGCAGAAGTCCATTTGGAGGGAAATAGTTTTATTGAAGGTGAGCTCAAGGTGCCAAAGTGGGTGGCGGTAGAAATTGCGCGCAAGCACAAAAGAAAACATTTTGGTAGTCAGGACCGCAGCAACTGTTCGTATGTAGAGTCTGAGTACACACAGACGATTTTTCGACCGTCACTCAAACTTAACGCGTGGGCTACTTTCATTTCTCCTGCATATCGTGAACTGGAGCTCGTGGTTGACTTGCAGTGGCCAGCCAATGTATAAATCAGAGAATTTGTTCTCACAGAGATGTTCGCTATCAATCGACCAACCCCAAAGGTATGGAAGGGCGTATCTGTGTGGGATTTGATACCCGGACCATGCTTGCGACAATGAGTGCCACATACTTGCCACTGCACCACCTCCACCTGAGCCTTTGCTTTATAGTTGTGGTCGTTACAGCTCTTAGCAGTGCTAACTTTGATGCAAGATCAGTGAAATTTAGACAAAAAGGCCTTCAGTCGGGGGCTCAAAGAATGCCTCAGTTTTCATAGCACACAATTGATAAACGCTACATTTTGAAGCCGCTTGTCAGTTGAACCGTTAGCTGGTTTTTTTGAAACTACTATATAACTAAAAATTAACCTTCGAGAGCTAATACATTATATTGAACTGTGGTATTGAAGACTGGGAAAATCGTCGCCATGAATGAATTGAGAGATGGTCATCGCATCCACGTGGTATCCAGAGAATTGTTATAACGGTGAACCAACCTTGATTTGTAAACAACTGGTCAACGTGGAAAAGATATACCCCTTCCGCAACCTTGCCTTTTTTGGTGGGCAAACTACAGCGCTCGTTCGCCTTTTGTTTACCGCATGAAATTTTTTTGGCATTTTGTCTTTCGAACTTGCTTGAGATGATTCTTGTTTCTTTCAAAAACACTTCTGTGTTTTTCTCGACGATTTCAGGTCGTTCTTTGATGTCAATAATTTCTTATATGTACAATACTATCGTGACCTTGATTTCGGCAATACTCGATCACATTCATGCACCGCTTTTTTGGGCCTCTTCTTCGATATCTCTTACACTGACAAATAACAATCACAGGCTCGGTCAACAGGTGATCCTGCGACCATCTTATCGTGTATTTTAGGCTCTTGTCCTAAATTGGTTGGGAAGGAACCATTTGCTCGGCCGACCTGCACCGTCTTCGTAATTGCGATCAACCCCAGACTCACCCCATTATCCTCATTTCATCGCTATAATCCCATCCTGTACTGTTAAGTATACGCTACCGTCAGCAGCTAAGTAAGCTCTCAGTCGAGTCTTCAAATGCTTTCACTAACACGTTCTGTACTTCTTAGAACTTGGTTTCTTTTTTTTTTATTGAGCTCAGCTGATTCACTGCCAGCAGTTCGGTTGTTCTTCGGCTTATCCTTCTTTCAGAGTTTCTCTAGATTCTTCTGTCAGGGGAATTTCGTAGAGGAGGGTTTATTGCTGCTCATCCATCTTCTTCTGAGAAGATATCAAGTGTAGTAAGGGAGACGGGTTCAGAGCTGATTTTTGTTATACCCAAAAATGACGTCCATTGCTTCATGGGAACCACCAGGTTTGTAGGAAGAGGGATCTCCCTATGAATACATGAATTTGAAGACGAATTCAAGGAAAATTGAATATGGGTATTGCAAACGACGAAAAACCCCGTTTCACGATTTCAGGGCTTGAAAACGAACTGTTTCTCTGAGATCGGTAGATAAGTTCCCTCGGTTTTGAGCGAACTAGTCTATCGTATAGATCGTGGACGTGCGGTCAATCTGCAGTAACCAGAAAGCCTCGTAATATCGTACTCTTCATTCTCTTTTCGTGCCTTTCAGCTGCACCAACTGCTTACTCAATAATTACCTTCCCTGCGGCTGTCGCCTCTACTTGTGATCTGCCCTTGCGAAAAAAACTTCCATTTAAAAGAACAGTTCACGATAAAAATGGTTCTGAGTTTTCCCTATAGGATACATTTGAGGTTCCCTCCTCGTATACCATATCTCTCACTATTAGGTCGAAAGACGGCCTAGTTGGGGCGTTATAAAAGCTCAATAATTGCACCGTGCGTATCCTTGGAAGAGTTTCATGCATTGTAGAGGCTGCAGCGGTCACAAGGGAACCCATGTAGGATGTTCAAACAATTTGTCATGACCTATAGCGACAGAAAAAGGCAGTTCTGTACTGTTCTGGCTTGATATGGTTAGCTCTTCACGCAATTTTGCGACGACTGAAATCCCATCTGAATACCCCTTCCATGTAATTTTCATCATGGTAACCGCCCAACCTCCATTTTCACTACTTTTGAGGAGCCTTATTTTTCTCTGCGGCGAATTCTCTTGCTTTCTCCACTGCCGTTAAACTATTCCTATCGTCGTCTAAGGCGACGATCACCTCACCTTAACTACTATCTCGT